CACACACACACACACACAGGCACACACATACACACACACGCACACAATATACACATGCCACACATGTATAATACACTATTTTCCCTCTGAAGTTCTCTCCTTTGGGTGAGCTTGCAGCACTAAGAAAGATGGATATTTTTGAGCGGAGGTAACCATCAAGACTATACACAAGAGTAATGAAAGAAGACAGTGTAAACGAAAAAAAACTCCCGAGAAAAACGGTACAGTGTAAGAGTCATCTTATTCTCAGTGAATGTAAGGTAGGAGACGAAGTATACTAGCCTATGATACAAGCAAACCCCCCTCCCCCCTTCCTGTAAATGAGGTCTAAAGGTTTAATCAATGATCCCCCCCCCCCTCTTTTCCCCGCTATTAAATCAATTTCATTGTAACACCCACCAGTTCTTTAGGTTAAGACAACCTATAATTGATGCCCGGCTAGTACTTTGATTTCACGGATTTCTGTATTATACTATGCGAGGTCGTTTTTTAGACGGGAATAAAAATAATGATTATTATTATACGGTACCTTATGATTATTGTCAGTATTGTAAAATCTCGGTTCCCCGTTTGAATTCATGTTTACCATGGACATTATTCTGTGAAAAAAGAACATTTCTGACTCAACTTGGATCAAAACCTCAACCTTTTGCTGGTTTAGTTACCGGTATGCTCTATTTTGAACTGTGTCATGTACGGCAGGTATACTGCCTACATCGTTGCTAACTCGATTAATCATAATACAAAATCTAGTTGAATCTAGATCTAGTTGCATCTTGCCTACATCAAAATTTAGGAGTAAAACATTACTACTTCTTGTATTTTGCCTAAGCAGGGTGTAATCTTGTCTGTTTTTCTTTCCCGTTTTGTTCCTATAATTGTATTCTTTTTATTTACATTACGGAGATAGAAAGCTTCTAGAAAGCGACGGCCCTGCCCTGTTGCTTGCCGTTTTTAGTGCGTTGAATTTATCTCGAATTATTCAAAAGATAAGGCACACATGTTAACATGGTCATTGTGCAACCGTACTTTGATAAGGCTTCCTACTTGTGCTATGTGATTTGGAAGAAACGAAAATTCATCAACTCTTCGGAGCGTAAAGTCGCTTTAACAACTATTCGAATTCGAACACATTGTGCAAATGGATTTTTTCCTTTTAATATTAAGTTAGTTCATCAGCAACATTCGCTATTAATAATTATTCACTATTCACAACGCTCTATACAGGCGCTAATCAAAAAGTGCTATTCACAGGACGCGCGATGGCACGCATGTAGTGCGGTACGATGACGTCACACCACCATCACAAAGCTTCGAATGTCGTTCATGTATAGAGGAAGGTGAGCTAAGTGCTCTGCCTTGTTAACTTCCTGCAAAGCCAGCATCTACCCTTCGTGGAGAGATAGGTCTATGGACTCTTGAGCTGTCCATTGTGTAACTAGTTAATATTGAATATCTGCAATGATACTTCATAGAGACATGTTTCATAACTATTGTTCGCTAGATGACTTATCAATCTGCCTCGTTATAAGTCAACAACAATGTATATTTGTATTCACCTCAATGATTTTAGACAAAATAATTTGCTCTGATTTTATGAGTTCAGAGAAAACGAGATGCAAATATCATACGACATTCGAATGCCCCTGTTATGCTTCGAAGAGTTGTGAATAATGGAAATAGTGAGTGTCGAATAGCGAAGCCGAATGGGCAAAGCTCCAGTTCGTATGAATCCAATATAACTGTGCAAAACAAAATATTGCTGTAGTTATCTTTCAACAGACCGTTCTGGTAGCTTTTGTTGCTTTAAAACGTTTCTGTGTTTGCTTTCATTAAAGATAGTAAACTAAGGGTTTATCGGTTTTTTTCATTGTGTACTGGTGTGGAGATGGGCCAATAGCGTAGAAAAATATTTAAAAACTTAAACAACAGTGTGCATGTTTTACAGACGGCATAGATCCAGACACTCATCCTCTCTAATCATCTAGATACAGATTCCAAGAAACCTTTCCAAGCCAAGAGCATGTTGCGTCTTTCTATTATTTTCACTTTGTTGACATGGACGGATGGAAGCTCCAAATTTGATGTTAATCGTCTACGAAGGTTTGCCGAAGCAGCCATGGCCTGCAGTGATATCAGAGGACTAGCCGTAGCTGCAGTCACGAGAGACAGGACGATTTTTACCGGCGGTTATGGCGTGAGAGGTGTGGACGGGCGGTCGAAGAACATGACAAAGTCCAGCCTTCTGGGGATCGGCTCGAACACCAAATCCTTCACATCAACTTTGGCGGCAATGGCGGTGGATGAAGGCAACATGGCGTGGGAGACCCCCCTCAAGAGTTATTTTGGAGACAACTTCAAATTGCAGAGTGACTATAGAACAGAACACACTAATCTCGTGGATGTGTTAAGTCACAGAACAGGTATGCTGTCTCTATGGGGTCTCACCACCGCTGCCCCGAACTACACACTCCAAGAGCTCGTCAGCAAACTGCAGTATTTTCCAGTGCAATACGAGTTCAGATCTCGATATCTCTACAGCAACTACGGCGTCACTCTAGGTGGAGCAGCTGTGGAGGCCGCCATGAATAAAACATGGGAAGACTTACTAAAAGAGCGCGTATTCGACAAACTCGGAATGACGTCATCAAGACCCGCTACAAGAATGGAGCAAAGCGATTGGTCAAGAACGGCTTTCGCTCAAACGTTATACGGAGATGGAAAGTTCCGAGAAAACGACGAGCCTGCCCTGGTACCCATGTACGCAGGTATATGTCCGGCTGGCTGCATCTACAGCTCTGCCCAGGACATGGCCAAGTGGTTGAGGTTCCATCTCAATCAAGGTGTTACAGAGAAAGGGGAGCGCGTCTTTGCTGCAGATTCTCTGTTGGAAACGTACAGGTAAGTCCTCACTGGCTCGTGTCAGTCTTTGCTTTTGCTTTGACGAACCGTTATTTCAGTTGGATTCTTGCTGGTCTTCTCTCCTTCTTTGCTTTGTATGTTACTCAAGAGTAACATCTCTAATCTTGATCTCTTTAATATAACTAGCTGGGTACCCGTTCGATGAACGGACTCAAAAGAATCGATCGTCAAGTCATTGTGGAAACCAGCGTGCACTGCTTGTGAATGAAAGCCTCAATTGTTTACAATGGCGTCTTAGAAGACGAACTTTCCTAAGATTAGATCTAAACGAAACTAATAAAAAACTGAAAATTAAACTGCAGTGACTTCTGACTCTTTAATATAACTGTGCACCCTTTGAATGATTTTGAATCCCCGTTATTTTTTTCAAATTCGAAAGTTAAGTGGTTCGGATGTTTTAGCCCACCAAGGTGACGAACTGTCACAAATATAATATATTATATAGATCAATTTGTAAGTCCCGTAAAACTCTTACTAGAACTAAACTAATATATAAACACACAACAGCAACAACAATATTAATAAGAACTACATTGTACACGCATGAGCTTGCGCAAGTTTAATGCCCTTTTTATTTTCTGGACGCAGATAAGCTTATACCATACAATAAATAAATATTAAGAGCGATGGTTTCCACATAAGATCAAGAAATAAGCAGATTCTGAGGTAGACGTGTGTGTTAGTGTTTTAGCGCCTATAAAGGGCTGTTTGCACTGTATGCTTCCCAGGAAGCTGAGGCTGTTTCAGAATTCTCTCAGATCTGCTGGGGTAATAGTATAGATTGTGAAGCACATAGAGCTTGCTGTTGAGTGGGGATTTGCGTGATAATATTATTATTATTATTAT